ATGAGTTTGAATGTTCCTTTAATATCTTTCGCCTCTCTTTTACCAACAGATCTTTTTCGAAAGTTAATCAATCGTTGTATGATTTTTAATAAGGACTTCTTAGGAATAAATCAAAATCGATATATTTTTTATTACAACGAAGAAAACTTTAACAACAATATTTCATGTTAACTGGGTATTGTAAAACTCATTAGGTAACAGTTTTATACCGCATTCCAAATGTGAAAGTCACGAACATCATATGTAGCTCAGCATTATAAAATTTCATACCACATTAAATCATTTATTAAAATATAATCCTCGCAATATCAAAAAGTTTCGGTTATTTCGGATGGACAAGATGAACATAGTTAACTATCAAATCTAGAAGCAGAAACAAACATAGTTTACTTAAATTTACTAAAGGGAAGTAATGATCAGGGCACTTGTTTTAGCCGTCGAATTAAGAGTAAAGAAACGTACTTTATCAAATTTCATTTCTCTGGTTAAATCTTAGGTTATCAGTTGGCATAAATGATAAATTTCCTTTTCTTTTTGCATTTGAATGAAAACATTTGAAGGGAAACTGTGAAAAAAGAGAGGTGTCGAACACCAGAATCCTGTTAGGAAGATTTATAATTTTGCTACAGAATAACTTGTCCAAACACGAAAAGATATTTTGTGGATTCTTCCAAATGTAAGCTTGAGATGTCAGTTTTGGTTTAATTTTACAATTTTGACATTCTTTTTCGAAACCACAATAATATTAAAACTGAGTTTGCAATAAATATTTCATATTTATGAATTAATGAAAATAACATTTTTATAAATGCAATGCTTGCAAAACGTTTTTCCAACTTAAAACCTATTTAAAACTGCTTTTTGATATACCAAAAAACTCTTTTTGGATTGAATACGCAATTGATATGTTTTAAACATAATTTGGCACAACATCAATATGGCTGTAAATGGCGGTGTGTTAACAGTTTGTAACTTTATAAATTGTGATTGTATAAATGATATACGCTGTCCTTCCTTTAGTATCTAGAGAAACCTAGATAAAAAAAATAACCACCAAAACACGATATTCACAAATATTTAAATAATGTTATCATACCTCCAAAGTAGAACAGAAAAACGTTATTTATGTTTGTAGACGACCTTTTTGTATTAAATAATATAACAATAAACGTTGAAAACATTAACATTAACCGTAAAACTGTACTTGGTATGGTAAATTTATTGTTGTGTGTGGGTTTTTTCAGATATTTCTTTTGTGAATAAAATAAAACTTTGTATTTGATATACTTTACTTGCTTTAGGAAATAGCCCGTTGAAGCCAGATTAGTTTAAGTACTGTATTTTTTGTACATAGATTTGTACGACAAGCAAAATCTAACATGGTTTATTTTGTTTCGTCTTGATGTGGTATAATTTGACACGGATAAGAAATTTTAATATGTCAGAATTATGAATGTACGTACAAAAATAGTAAAGCTTGTCAAAATAAATGTTGTTTTAATGTAAGAAAAAATGACGTCTCATTCGAATGAATACTCTACTTTAACATATATTCTTTTACAAATTTCAGTTCAGAATTTACATCTTTACCGCAGTTATTGAATAATAGGAAAATGAGCCGAAGCAAAATCCGAAAAAAAAGTTTTTTATAAGTCCTTTTCGTAGCATTTTTTTTTTGTGATTAAAAGTAATGTTTTCACTTCTTCCATCGTTACTTTGTTGTTTTTTTAGATTCTTCCACTTAATTAGAGACTAAAGATTATTTGTGCAGGTAAGCTTGTGTTTACCTTTCTTTAATTTCATTTGCTAATTAATTGAAATGTTTTGATAAGTATTTGTTGACTTTTCAGCAATTGACAGAAATAGCGCTTCATGTATGCACGAACATCGTATTCTAGTATATACATAATTTATACTCTTTGATTGATAACAAAACGGATGTCTCTTCTTTCGTTGTAAAAAAGGAGCCTAGATGGCCGAATGTTCCAAGTAGTCGAACTACTGTATCACAAGCCTGTCAACACTGAGATTGTAAGTGCGAATCCAGCACGTTGCAGGCGCACTCGACTCCAATCTCAATTGACTAGGATTGTTAGTTTTCCTACCGAAGGTCGGTGGTTATCTACGGGCACTCTGACTTCTTTTCTTCCAACAATAAAAACTGACCGCTACGAAATAGCACAATAGTGTTGAAAGTGGCATTAAATACCAACCAATCAATCAATTTATTCCCAAAACGGACAATCAATATCTACCAGTGAAAGAAAAACCATTACACCATTAAAAAACACAAAAAAAGACGAAACGTCGTTTCGACAAACAACAGTCTACAAAAACTACATATAAAATTTAAAACTGAGTAAGACGAACTTAACTAAAAGCCGGAGTGATCTCAGTAAATGTATTTCGAGAAACATATACAATGACATGCATGCCGTTATATGCAGCAAACATCCGTATCAAACTTGAAATTGTTTACGGTTTATCGTAGATTTGTACATGTTGTATTAATGTAAACATCGTACTTCAACCATCATGATTCTGTCATTTTCTTCAACATTTTGAATTGTGTAAAATCGTTATAAACAATTTGGATGATACATTGGACAAAATTACAACTGTTTACACTGTTTACCATAAAAGTTTTTCAATACAAAAACAATTACCCAACTTAAAAGAGATTTTTTTTAAATTTTTGCTAATCTATTTGAATTATGTAAAACATTTATAATATGTTGGAATAATTTGAAACTGTTTTCGGTAAACTCAGTAATATCTTATTACAATGTAGATAATACCTTTGACAAACTGGACATTGCGAACGATAGTAAGTATTATTAATGCAAAAACATAAAGCAACCGTTAAAAAACTTTGACTTTTGACAGGTGGTTTCCCTTATATAAATACGCAGATCAGGGATGAATTATCTACTAGAGATCAAAGGAGGAAGATGTAAACAACTATAGGGCATTGTACGGCCTTCTACAATGTACATTACGTGAATCTTCGGACAATGCTTATTATACATATGATACATTGACTGAGTTAAACAGCAAGTTTCGAAATTACACACTACGTCTATTACAACAATAAAATTCCCCTTTTGATTTATAATTCTATAAATCAAACTATACGGTGTGGTCATTTCAGATGACAACATTGTCTCGATGTGAACAAAAATAAACACAGGATATATACCAATCATTCATTTAGTCCAGTGAAATAATAGATATTATCAAAATGAATTTTTTGATTTGGACTGTGTCACTTGGCACTGTATAAGCCGTGTGGGGAATATACCTCAAACATTCATGTTTGCGTTTCCATACCTCAACGGAAACGTTTACAGCGTGCGTGTTCCTGGTGCAAAAACTGCATAGTTATGAAGAGGAACGACCAGAATCTGTTTTACAATCATTTTAATACAATCATCGTGAATTCGTAGGTCAATACTATGAGTTTGTGTCGCACCTTGCAAGGGAAATCAGTGGTTTTGCAGTTGATCTTGAAAAATATATCAGAATACTCGTCTAATCTGTCGATTTTGATTTTTTCCCTATTGTGATATTTTAATTGAATGTTGATTCGCTTGGCGGGTAATGCATGCCTAGCAAGAAATAATAACCCTTTCGACGCACATGGTTATAGCTCCGTTCTGAGTTCTAGTTATTTCCCATTGTTGTTGTCTTCATTTGTATATGATAAATGGATTTACAAGATTTTAATATCGGCAAACTACTGTTGCCTCAAATTTACATAGGTTTTCTAAATAATAAATCTCTTAATTACAAAGTATTAACGTGTGTGCATCCCTGGTTTCAAAATGTTTGGTGTTGAGTGAAGATGAAAGTCATTCCAGAAAATGCTGAAGACGCACTAAATTAAAAAAAAAGAATTGTCTTAAATCTAGCACAGGGTTTAAACCGCTGCTGGTAAACTCTTATCCCCCGATAGTATCATGAGCGAGTGATGAGTGCTTCGCCACTAACATGATTGATAACAAACATGTTTTAATGTTCCTTTCATAAGTTTATAAATTATTAAGAAACTAAGTTTTTAACTCACTTGGACAAAGTTTACCGAAGCTGAATTTGACTATTCATTTTGTGTTCCTTTTTGTAATATAGTTACGCAAGTATTTATATATTAGTGAGTTTCGACTCTTTGGTTTGGAGCGTTCCTGACTAAGGTAACTTCTTCTCCTGATCTCGTATTTTACAATTTAAAGTCAATTCGATTCCAAGTCACATATGTAAGCAGAAAATTTTGCTAATATTTGTAAATACATCTTAGTTAAAGTTATTTGAAACTTTATGATATTTGACATATGGTTTATAATAATAATAATGGAGGAATGGTACGTTCGGAAATGGGATGTGCAACAACAGTCTAAAACATTTGTATCAGATATATAATATGGTACGAACTGTAGTTTTTATATATTTTTGCTAAGAATATGGTTTTGTAAGAAAACTATCTCTGATGTACGGTGTTGGACTTTGAGCAATTATTAAAATGTCGTACTATATTCAAAATTCTCAATTGTGAAATGTAACATTCAAAATATTTGTTTAAAGGATTTAGAGATAGAGAGACAGACTACATATATGTCAACCCTTTTATTTTAAAATTAAAGAAAGTATTCAAGAATACTACGATACCGTGCTACTTGTCCTAGCCTGTGCCGTTAACTTCAGCAAAAATACATATCATTCAAGTAATTTAACACATGATTTTATTTGTATACAAACAAAGCATTTTCCTATAAAAGCTGTGTCTTTCATATTGTATTTGTTTATTCCGTCGACAAGAGATTAATCATCTGTATCATACTCTTTCTATTTAACCTAGGCATCTGAATCATACAAGGATATCCGTTATGATTCTACATCTATAAATTAATAAATGATTAAATGAAAAGTAACACATTTAAATGCATCAAAGGATTGATGATGGGTGATTAATGTCAAGTGGAAATCTTACATGTATATTTACTTACTAGTTTTGATTCTCTCTTTGTTTGTATCTTCTGCTTCTTTTAAAAAAAAGTACATGTAAAAATGATTTGACTTGTCCCTTTTTGCACTATGCTGACACGCTGAAACTGCTCACAGGTTAACAATTCCACAGGTAGACATGTCACACTATCTGGACACAATCATCAGACTTAAAGCAACCTTTTTTTTACTGATAGAAGGTCGAGTGAATGGTAGCGAATGGCATATACCAAATCTATAGTCTTTGGTTAGACCGGAACAGCATTTGAATCCACGACCTCATCTACTCGAGGCGAGAACGCCTCCAAGAAACAAACGAGGATGGTGAGCATACGAAGGGCTGTTAGCAATCGTGATAAAGCAAGTAACCAATGTTCAAAGAGTATGTGATGACATGTATATGCTGCACACGATATTCTTTCGAAAATAGGTTTCAGTGAATATATCGTTATCTGAATCCAAAGGCTTTGTAATTAGAAATGATACTTATCTCCCAAATGTAATGACACAATCCATCGAGAATATGCACAACTTTTGAAAATTTGGTAAATTTAATAACTGATATTGTCGCCATGGAAGAAAATGATAAACGTGGAAAGAAACAATGTTTCCATAAAATAATAATGAGCTAATAGGTTTTTTTAGTATGAATTACAAATGTTATGTATTTTACGACTAAGAAGTGCATGTATTGAAAAGACACCCGTTTGTGGCTCCATGACCTGGACTGAACACATTAATTACCGATGATTAACTATGAGGGGATAATGTATCGCATATCACATAAGTCGAGTTTCCTATCGTGTACTACACAAAATTAGTAATAATAGTTGATCAAATATAACACAATAATTATTTTTGGACAGATGACGCGGAAAATGTGACAAATGCAGCGCTACAAAATTGCATAATTATACATTCCAGCCTATGGTCAATGATTGATAGAACAATGTGTTACATTTCATACGTATCCAGTGTAATTAAAATGGAGGTATAGTATATAAATAATAGTTGAAACAATAAAAATTCTAATTATTATGAAAAACAGAAATTACAGACTGATGTGGAAGTAGAAAATATGCGAAGTTATGATTCGGCATTAATGTATTTTATGCTAAACAAAATGTTAATTTTAGAATTTCAAATGTAGTCTGCTGATATTTTGTTAAGTAATTATTAAGCAATATTTTTATCTTCATTCTAACTCAAAACAAACAAATAAAGAATATTTTATTTTTAATTTCAATATGAAACTGCGTCAGAAACTTTATCATGTTTGCACGTCTTGTGATTTACAACAAATTCGGACATTCTAATGCTCTAGTAGAACAAAAATGAAATAAATGAAATTCCTCAATTTCGTTCGATAACTTTGACATACATACATGTAACAGTTAGGTATGCATGACAATTAATGTTTTGAATCTTCAGCAGTAATAGGCTGTAAGAAAAGTTCACGCAGGTACTAGGTCAAACAAAACCAACAACACAAACAAATTCAATATCTTATCATCGTTAGTAGAGAGAATCAAATGTTTGTTTAATAAAATTTATGCAATATATGTGCATTTTCAGAAAATACCAAATTCATTTGTAAGAGCTTTAGAAACTGGAAGAAAAGCGCGGCTCATCGATATTCTTCCATTGATTTATGTTTAATGCGTTTTTCTTTCCGGGCAGTTTCACATTAAGGATTAAATGTTCAGTTTTATTTAAAATTCCCAATAGTGCAGTTATGACACCGAGATTGCTCAAAAGGACTGTGAAACGGACACCGAAATGACCTGTGATGTTACCAGTAATTTTAAGATAATCGTTCGCTCACAACAGAACCAGTGCACCAGGAGACTATGTACATTTACTGTACATTCGCTTTTGTTTATCTGTACACCTATATATATTAATTGTCTAGTAAAACGGTCGATAAATTGCAATATGGTTATTTGCGGACGAAAATCATGATTGTTTAATAAATAAATCATCTGGTTAAATTGAACCTTTGGCTCACTGCATGCACTGCTTTTTTTATTCACCGATTTTGGATACTTAAAATTTATAAATAAACATCAATTTAATTAAGAAGCAGTTAATGTCACTGCAAGTAATGTATTAGCAAAATAATATGATAACAATTGGAAGCAGTTGATGTAAATATATGTTAAATTGTTTATCTGTATTTGTATATACCAAGGTCACACAGACGTGATAACATTAACCAAGGTCAAATGTATGAGATTCCTATTCCTATATACCAAAGTGTGACTAACAATTAAATGTTAATAGTGTGTAAGGTATTTAGAATACCAGCATTGTACGACCCTAATTTTGTTGAACAAAATACACGTTTCCACATAAACTGTTCCATTAGAAATCTTACCCATAAATCCAAAATTCAAAACATCCGATTAGGGAAAAATAACTAACCACACTCAAAGGTTGAGCCACATCAGGCTAAAGAGTTAATTCGGTGGAGGAGTAAAGACACTTCAGGCATAAGATTCAACGCAATGGATGAGTAGAGCAACATCAAGCTAAAAACTTAATTCAGTGGAGGAGTAGAGCCACTTCAGGCTAAAGATTCAACGCAAAGGATGAATAGAGCCACATCAGTCTTAAAATTTATTTCAATAGAGGAAAAGCGCCACTTCAGGTTAAAGATTCAACACAATGGAGGAGTAAACGTAGAGCCACATCAGGCTAAAGATTTAATTCAATGGAGGAGTAGAGGCAATACAGGCTAAAAACGCAATGGATGAGTAGCGTAACATCAGGCTAGAAATGGTACACAAGAGATGGACGAAAGATACCAGAGGGACAGTCAAACTCATAGATCGAAAACAAACTGACAACGCCATGGCGGATGAGTAGCGTAATATGACCGGACAATTTGGACTGTGCAATGAAATTAGTTTTTAAACAACATTTTATGAATTCAATTGTTTTAATGTATATTCTTGTTTTTTGCATTTATTTTATTATTCTGAACTTTGTCGTAAATTTAGGCATACGTGTTTTACACGGATTATGTGTCATAATCTTGGACAAAGGACTTAAATTCATTTACTCTATTCATTTAATTATTTATTCTCTGTAACAGTTTAGACAATTTATTATAATTTACTTATACGTGTCGGACATTAATTACTCCTCTAATCTATTGTTATTTCTATTTGGCATATGTTAATCTTCCTAATCCTTTAATTGTTTGTTCTTATATATATTGTTATTGTTTGTATGTTACTTTACATTTGGTTTGGAGTTTGTTGTTCGGTCTTGCCGGACTGCTAAAATAAAAGTTTAAGGAGCGAAATATTCCTTCTTGATTTCCATTTAGCCGGAACGCCATTTTACCCGGCTATGTCTGGTGTTAGGACATCCGGGCAACGCATCTATCGGACACCTTGTACTACCTGTGAAGCTGATCCCCCAGCAAACAGAAAAATGGATACGCGGAGAACCAGAAATTTTGGCCGAGACTGGAGATACCAGATGTCTGATCATGGAACTACCTTTCAGACAAGAAATTTTCAACATATGGACAACTACCTATGTAATTTTTGTCGAAAAACTGTAAACAATCAATTTCATTTTAGACAATGTATAGCAAAAACATCATTTTGCTATAAGTGCAGAAGTTTTGAACATTACGCCAGAATGTGTAACTTTCACAGACAACCGGACGTGAAAGTTGTTAAAGTTAAATCCAAATCGAAATTACGTCGTGACGCAAATAGAATGATAAAATTCAAAGAACAGAAAGCTATGTCAATTTTTCCTTGTGCGGAACTCAATACTATTGAACTGATGGACTTCTTTCCAACCTTAGATTATAATAGGGAATTTATAGATAACGTTAGACTCAGGCACGACCGAGTGAATTCAGAGAGAGTAAAATTTAAAATCAAAAGTGTACACTATGAGAAGAAGTTTAAAGAGTTAAATCAAAAGCATACTAGTGTTGTTAGCAATCTAGAAAAACTTCAAAAACAAGGTGCAGATGATAAAAAAGATATGGAAAAATTACGGGAACGCATTACTGATCTTGAAGAAGCTAATTTTTGGATTTACGATCAAAGATGTGAAGCAATAGACCAGCAATACTAATTAAAACGCGACAAAGAACATATGCGGGGTCGAATCACCGAACTAGAAGACGAATTGGACAATTTTCGGAAAAATACAAGAGAAGATATATATTCAAACCAAAACTATCGTTACAGAGGACGCCACAACCACAGAAGAAACTTTCGGAACAATTTCAGATGAACAGTAAGACCCGGGTCGTGTCTTCAAGGGCCGCGGGAATATATGACCGGACAATTTGGACTGTGCAATGAAATGAGTTTTTATAAACAACATTTTATGAATTCAATTGTTTTAATGTTTATTCTTGTTTTGCATTTATTTTATTATTCTGAACTTTGTCGTAAATTTAGGCATACGTGTTTTACACGGATTATGTGTCATAATCTTGGACAAAGGACTTAAATTCATTTACTCTATTCATTTAATTATTTATTATCTGTAACAGTTTAGACAATTTATTATAATTTACTTATACGTGTCGGACATTAATTACTCTTCTAATCTATTGTTATTTCTATTTGGCATATGTTAATCTTCCTAATCCTTTAATTGCTTGTTCTTATATATATTGTTATTGTTTGTATGTTACTTTACATTTGGTTTGGAGTTTGTTGTTCGGTCTTGCCGGACTGCTAAAATAAAAGTTTAAGGAGCGAAATATTCCTTCTTGATTTCCATTTAGCCGGAACGCCATTTTACCCGGCTATATCAACATCAGGCTAAAAATGATACACAGCGGATGAGTAGCGTAACATCAGGCTAGAAATGGTACACAATGGATGAGTAGCGTAACATCAGGCTAGAAATGGTACACAATGGATGAGTAGAGCCTCTTTACCCAAAGATTTAATTCAGTGGATGAGTAGAGCCACATTAGGCTCAACATTTAATTCAATGCAGGAGTAGAGCCAGTTAATGCTAAAGATTCAACGCAATGGAGGAGTAGAGCCAATTCAGGCTAACGATTTAATTCAATGGAGGAGTAAAGCTACATCAGGCTAAAGATTTAATTCAATGGATAATTACAGCCAATTCAGGCTAAACATTGAAAGCAATGGATGAGTAGAGCTGTTGGGGATAACCATAAGTACTATTGTTTATAATTTGAAGAAAATTCTTGTTTTCTTATGTTTTCTGTTTATATTTGTAGTTCATTGTACAATACAATTGTTCCTGTAATGTGTGCGACGTTGCAATATGATATATTCGATGAAGTACAGCAACAACAAACAATATTAAGTGTAGAATGACATGATTTCTTACTAGTTGGTTGAGTACTAATACTTTAAGCTTCGCTGTCAGTACCTTTTTTTCATTTTTATCTTTTGATAATGTATAATA